GCCACCCCATCCCCCGGGTGGGACACGATGCCTTCTGCCAATGCACAACTCTTGGGGACAAGTGTTAGAAGGTCACATGCCTTGACAAGATGCTGACAGGCGGCACAGAGGTGCCCCACGGGATTTCTTTGGAGCTTTCTTTTGTGGGTGCTCGGTGGAGGAAAGCAGCGTTTGCTGTAGACCAGGGCTGACCTGAAATGCAACCAGGTGACGTGACGGTCGCTGTCTCCCCACTGATCTCCTGGCCCCTTCCCTTTGGCCACAGCGGTCAGGATGGTTGCAAATCCTGCTGGAGATCAGGATGACACCCATCCACGTGCCAAGGAGCTGGGCGCCTTCAGCCCTGTCCCCAAAAATTGCTCCTGGGCAGTGGCTGCCTTTCTCAGATCATGGATTTGGCTGCATCGGGGTGTGATGAAGGTCTTCCTTGGCTGCTCATTTACACACAGCCTGCTCAAATGGTGACTTGCTGGATGCCACCACATTCTCTGCCCAGTTCTGCATCCGAGGCTGAGCTCGGGCATGTCAGGAGGGCTGAAAGTGCAGGGAGCGAATGGACCCAGGGTTTGTCAAGTTGGAAAGGGAAAAACAGCCTGGGTGCTCATCCTGCTGGTCCCTGTAAAAGCCCCAAGGATGGTGGAGCAGGATATCCCGCAGGATGCGTGTCTCGATGGGGAGGAAACTTTGGGAAGATGCCAAGGGGCTTTGCACTGAAATCATTAACAGCTTTGGCATCTGAATTGCCTTGTCCCGACACCCTCTGCTTTTTTACAGCATCAAGAGCAGCCTTGGCTTGAGCCCCAGCTCTGAAAATCCCTCAAGGGGTGATTTGGCATCTTTGGAAGGGGGAGTGGGGCCAGGGGGCATCACTGGGGAGAGCTCAGAACTGGTGTGGTGGGACTGGGAGATGCTCAACCCCATTTCCCATCCTCTTCCAGCCATCCGGCCGCGGCGTCCGCTTCCCTGAGGTCTTCTGCATCATCAGCTGCCTGGGCTGTTTCGGGCTCTTCTCCAAGGTAGGGATGTGGTGGCTCTGTCTGGCACGGTGGTGGCCCAGGTAGCCACCTCGTCACCTGCCGGGGTTTCCCCGCTCGCTTTTTTCATCCCCAGATCCTGGACGAGGTGGAGAAGAGGCGCCAGATCTCCATGGCGGTGATTTATCCCTTCATGCAGGGCCTTCGGGAATCGCCCTTCCCAGCTCCAGGGAAAACTGTCACCATTAAAAGCTTCATCCCCGAGTCAGGCACGGAGGTTGGTGGGGGTCTCGGGGGGGCTCAGCAGAACTTCCCGGAATGGTCCGACGTGGGGAGCCCAGGCTGTCTCTGGGAGCACCCATGGGTGGTGGGTCAGGCTGGCGAGGGCTTCACGCGCTGGGAATAGGGGTGCCACCTCCCTGGTCCAGGAGGAGAGCAGCAAGCAGTGAGGATGAGGATGGAACCCATCCACATCTTCGCTTCCTCGCAAAGCAGCATCTTTGCAGCTCCAGCAGCCTCGAGCCGGAGCCATCAGCACAAACACCCTCACCCCGGGCG